TATATAGTCACCACATATACGGGTAACAGGATATATAGCCACCACATATACTGGTAACAGGATATATTATATAGTCACTACATATACTGGTAACAAGATATATTAAATAGTCACCACATATACTGGTAACAGGATATATTATATAGTCACCACATATACTGGTAACAAGATATATTATATAGTCACCACATATACTGGTAACAAGATATATATAGTCACCACATATACTGGTAACAAGATATATTATATAGTCACCACATATACAAGTAACAGGATATATAGTCACTACATATACTGGTGACAGGATATATTATATAAACCTCAATACTAACAGAAATGAAAAAGTTTGTGGCAGAGCTTGCCACAATCAAATCAGATAGCCAATTGTAATTATAGACTTTAATTGAAAATCTGTGCATGATATACTCATGCAAAGCATATATAATTGCAAAGAGTAATTATACATGCCAGATTTCCTTGAGACCAATCCGTAAATTTCAAAATCATTTGAAGGAAATTGAGGTTATAATAAGGGGGGTTTTATTCGTTGCATTTTCCCTGAGCATATGTTATACTAAGGTCCATGAGAAATGGAACTGGACACGTAATACAGTATATATGGTGGGCTTGTACTGGTGAAAGGTTCAAGTAACTGAAAACATGTAGCATCAAGCTAGCTATACGTGTAATAACGAGTTAAATAGATTATGGCTGTACTGATTACATAGATATATACATATATATGTAGCATAAAAAAAACCAATGCTATATACATATATATTATGATTTAAAAATTAAAGGGATCACCTGTAGTTATTTATTTTAAAATATTATAGTTTAATTTTGTTGTTGGTGTGAATATCGTGTAAGGATTTTTCAAATCAAATATTACATTAGAAAATTTTCCAAATCTATTAATGCTGTAAATTTAACTTATATCAATAGAAGTTCAAAATATTATAATTTTTAATATGGCAACATGTGGTGCCCATATCCGACGGTTCCAAACTAAAACAGTAGCTACGTATATATACATATATATCCTATATGGTCATAGGATTTGCATAATAATCAGAATAAAGATGTTCAAAACTTAATTTAACAGGTGCAAGGGAAAATGAGATCCAATGTCTGCTAGTGGCTGTTCAGTGAAGTTTTGTTCTGTAGGCATCTTATCAAAATTGTACATTGTTCTGATAATGGACCACTTCGTGGGCCGAAACCTGTAAACTGGACTTAATTAGCTGTGACTCCCCATTTTGTCTGGTCATCTCTTCTTTAAAATTTTCTAAATGTAACGAGGACAGCACAATTGTTGTAATTATTACATTATTTACTCATTCACCCCTGAAAGCTGATAATGAACTATTCCAACCTTTGAATTGGAAGAGTTCAAATGTGTCTTCAGGGGTGAATGAGTTAAGACGCCACGAATGGTGTTCTCACATGTTATAGGGTCACCACGATTGGTACTGGTGATTTTTATAGGGACACTGCCGTTGAGGTTATTACATGTTAAGTGTAACCCTATGATGGTGTTATTGCACTGAATTAAAGCGTGATGAAAGGCCCAGACCAACCCTGCATACCATTGACCATTGAAAGCTACATATTGCTATTTAACCTCGATTCTGAAATACCTTTTAGTATTCTCAAATGTGGACACTGATTTCCAGTGATCGACAACATCGTGTAATCCTATGACATCAAACTTTGTCATCTTGTCATTCTCACCTGTAAAGGTAAAAACAAAAGTCATGCTGTAGTGTTTATCACCTACAAGACCTGGATATCTTTAAATTATCCCAGGAGAGGGCTTGTATAGGCATTACACCTGTTGCCTAATTCCTTTAGAATTAAGAATAAGATGCAGTATTCAATAAGATCTTTGTGAAATGAAAAATTATCTTTAAATTAGCATTATTGTTCTGTGTTGTTATTTTGTATTATACAATAAAGTGCTAGAGCTAGAGATGCCAGGGACTCCAGGCTTTATTTACCAGTTATTTAAAAAAGTGAAAATCTTACCAATTTCTGGCCAAAGAACTAAAAATTGTCCCATGTACAAACAATTAAAATTATAACTTGCGAAAAAGTAAAAAGAAAATTAATTTGAAATCATTCAACTTTACTTTTGATCTCGTAGGTAAATGTACCTCTTTGTATAACTAGGTAGACAATAACACACGCCACTTACACTTTCCTTCTTCAATATAAAAACTGTTGTACAGCAATCGTTTTCTTTCGTCTCCTTTTGCCAAAAGGATATCATCATTTCTACAGAATCTCCTGAAAGGTCAATGGTACCAATTAATAATCTCCTGAAAGGTCAATGGTACAAATTAATAAAAGAAAATAGATGAGGTTAGATACGGAGGTTTCTGGTTTACTACCAAGTTCACTTCAACACACCTTTAGGAGTATAACAAAGACATTTGCTTTGAACTGAAGACCAACAGGTCCTCATTCAAAGTGAGGCAGAACTGCACTGGCTGTCCCGTGTTTCTTAATCACTGACTCACTTTCATGACATTCAGACTTAGGAGTCTCCTGAGGAGATTTGTAAATTATTTTGAACTTATGTTACATTGAATTAGAATGTGTAGCGGATCATATCCTGAGTGTAGGACTGTATCAGACAACAGAGAAGGTAGAATACTTTACCATGGTGCGAATCTAGTATTGTTGTCCATGAAATAAGATAATTGGTCTGAAATAGAAAAAACATGGAGGTTAATTTATACTGATGGGAATCCAACATTAACATCAAATATTATTCCTTTGTTCACTGAAAATTCATACAATAGGTATTTTTTGACATAAAACAACTTTTTCAACATATATGATTATGATGTAGTACATTCATAATTGGATGTAAAGAACAGCTAGGTAATAACATTTTAATTAATAAATGTGCTGGTTAAAAACCACACAGGGTCATTTAATACACTACAATAATTTATACCATACCTTATATCCATTACACAGGCCAATATTATAACAATAAAAGATAGCAAAATGTCATTTCTGAAACAACTTACTTGATCCGTATGATACCTTGGTATTTACAAGTGTGGTACCAAAGTCTGTTGGCACAGCGAATACTAATCTGAAATTAATAAATCAGTTTACATTGAATAACCTTTAAATTTAAGTTAACACTTAACAATCTATACAATTTAGTTTACATTGAATAAACCGTCCAATTTAGTTCACATTGTATAATCTGTACAATTTAGTTCACATTGTATAATTTGTACAATTTAGTTTACATTTTATAATCTGTACATTTTAGTTTACTTTGAATGATTTGTTTAAGTCATTTCACACTGTGTTATCTGTAAAATTTAGTTAACACTGTATAATCTGTAAAATTCATTTTATATTTTACAATCTATACAATTCAGTTTACACTTCATGTACATGATTTGTACAATTTAGTTTACACTGTATAACTTGTACAATTTAGTTTACACTGTATAACTTGTACAATTTAGTTTACACTGTATAACTTGTACAATTTAGTTTACACTGTATAACTTGTACAATTTAGTTTACACTGTATAACTTGTACAATTTAGTTTACACTGTATAACTTGTACAATTTAGTTTACACTGTATAACTTGTACAATTTAGTTTACACTGTATAACTTGTACAATTTAGTTTACACTGTATAACTTGTACAATTTAGTTTACACTGTATAACTTGTACAATTTAGTTTACACTGTATAACTTGTACAATTTAGTTTACACTGTATAACTTGTACAATTTAGTTTACACTGTATAACTTGTACAATTTAGTTTACACTGTATAACTTGTACAATTTAGTTTACACTGTATAACTTGTACAATTTAGTTTACACTGTATAACTTGTACAATTTAGTTTACACTGTATAACTTGTACAATTTAGTTTACACTGTATAACTTGTACAATTTAGTTTACACTGTATAACTTGTACAATTTAGTTTACACTGTATAACTTGTACAATTTAGTTTACACTGTATAACTTGTACAATTTAGTTTACACTGTATAACTTGTACAATTTAGTTTACACTGTATAACTTGTACAATTTAGTTTACACTGTATAACTTGTACAATTTAGTTTACATTGCAATAATAGCCAGTACTTCAGGAGATGACATTTAATGCAGAAAATGAAAATGAAACAAAAGTTCCCTTACTTAAAACCTGTCTCTCCTATGGGGTATATATGATAGGTGAGGTCAACAATGGTAACACGCTTCTGAAATGGGAAAAGAAACACAATGATACCTGCGAAATGACAGGAGATTTAAGGTGCAGGTAAAAAACATTTTCAATGAATTCAAGCTTAAAATATATTTATATAATTACATTTTATATACACGAGACAGAAAAATGTTCAGCATATTAAAGTTTTACATTATCACGTAATCTATTTTTTAGTTTTATAAACTTGCCCTCAAAAACTGAGTATCAGAAAACAAAGCAATAGAAGTGCTAAGAGGTCAAGCGACATATCTTCTAAACCGTGTTCAGTGGACAATTTTTACTGTATCTGATATTCTGTTTTTTTTCCATCAATAAATGTCACTAAAATCTAAACATCTGCAATTAATAACAGAAATGCAATATATAAATATACAGTCAAACCTGTATTAAGAGGCCACCCAAGGGACTGGCAGAAATTGGCCACTTAAGGCAGGTGGCTGCTTATTGCAGGTTCAATATATAGTTTTTTATATTGGGCGGACCACAGACTGACCACATAAGGGAGGTGGCTGCTTATTTCAGGTGACTGCTTGAGCTGGTTTGACTGTATATAGGAATAAATGAAAAGACAGTAATTTTGCTATATGGAGTGGCCTAAAGATTGTAGTAATTTCATTAAAGGAGTGGCACGATGACCGTACCCAGGGGAAAAAAAGGTACATTTGAGGTACACTTTTTGGGGTACCTAAGGCATGCCTTAGGTATATCTAAGGCATGCCTTAGGTACATTTTGGGTAGGGAAGAAAAAGAGGACAGAATAGGAGGGGTTAAAACCTGTTCAATATAGGTACATTTTAGGCACATTTTAGGCACAATTAAGGCATGCCTAAAATGTGCCTTTTTTTATACCTCTGACTGAGGTATACCTAAAATGTGCCTAATTTGTACCTCTGACTGAGGTACGTATACCTTAAATGTGCCTAAATCATACCTCAGTTGTATAGTATATTCAATGTTGGTATATACTTACTCTTCCATCATAAGGCACTATTACATTTTTTATGGAGTAATTTGCATACCCTGAGGCATTTAAAATTTTCAATCTCAGCTGAAAGAAAAATTGGAAACGGAATTCAAGAAATATTCAATCATATATATTTCTAAGGAACATATTCATGATATCATCAATAATGCATTAAATTACCATATTTTACCGGTGGTAAGCACAGGGAGCATGTGTGAATGAAAAACCTGTCAAAAGTAGGGGTGGGCTTATCACTGGATATGATCCTATGTTTTACAAGTCAGGGGATGAGGTAATTACCGGCACCCACCCTATAAACGGAAATTAAAGAAAAGAAATGGTGGGGGTGGGCTTATTACCAGGCATGGTCTAATCACCGGTAAAATATGGCATGTGTAATTTTATTTTTAACAAACTAGGTCATTCCTGTTTAATTGCAGAGCCATAGAATCAATTTGTGAAGCTGCCTAATGTCTTTTACATGTTATCAAAATGTAGTTTATCAGAAAAATTCAACCAATGTTTATTTTGTTAGGTTTAGTGACTAGATAATACATGGAATGTGGTAGTTGGTTTACCATCCTGACGTCTGCTTCGTTCGGTACGTGTTCCACTTCAGTGATATCTACGCTGCTGAAGTGGGATTTCAGTCCGAGTTCTCGAGACTGTCTCTACAATCAGAAAAAGAAGTTGTTGATCTTGAATATAACTGGTGGCATTAATTCTATATCACATGTTAAGCCAAGATGCTCTCTACTGAATACCTTTTTAAGTTTAATATTTGTTTATCATGATTTGTGAAATGGCTGATATATCCCGGCAATATACAGATTGAAGCTAGATTTTTCCAACATCAATGAAAGTAGGAACAGGGGAAAATTTACTTATGCACCACTTGTCAGCGGCCATAGCAAAGATTCACTCCCTATGGTTCCAAATGACTGTCCATGGGAAGTAAAACCACAAACATCATTGCATGTGTAATAGAGGTCGGCATTTTTTCAATGCCTCCGCCAGGAGTCGAACCCGGGACCTCTGGTTTACTAGTATTACAACTACTAAACGAGCTAAAGAGAAATTCTCCCTAGCCGAGACGGTAGGAAGTGGCTAGTATTTTACCTGGCTGACACATGAAATTACGAACAGTTTTCTTCCATTCATAAATTTCAATAGTAATATGATGTAAAGATCACATCATACCCTGGATCTCCAAACTTTTTTATGAGAATTTTTTCCTTGACAGCTTTGTTCGGATTGACAGACTTGTTGAGAAAACATTGAAAAAACTGTGGTATAATTTGCAAATTAATGAGCTTTAACACTGGTGACTAAAGGGAGTTTTCAACACTGTAAGCTGGTGCAAATGTGAACATGAGGGATGAAAATTTGGCAGCATGGAATAACCGGCCCGGGTGTTTGTTATGACAGGAAGTGTTTTAGGCTACACTAACGCCTCACTTAGCCTCAGTCTTTGTACATACATATCAAGTTTCATAAAAATTGAACAATATTAAAGCAAGATATCTTATAGAAAGCAAAGTGTGGATGGATGGATGCTCCCCATACCATAATATGTCCCGTCAAACATTTTGACAGAAGTATAAAAATGTGGATTGTTTATGGATAGTTAGACGATGGAAGAAATCAGTAGATGACTCACAAAAGGCAATTGCAACAGGTTAACTGACATTCATCTCAGGTGACCTAAAAATACATTGGAAATGATAAAGGAGTCATTATAACACAGATTTAGTGGAATATTCATTGGCTGTTGATGTCATACCTTAAAATAGAATGGGCGGAGGTTTGGATGGAAAAGGATGAAGCCCTGTGAGTTCACTACAAAGGCATAGCCATTCGGGCCGAGCTACAACAAAACAAAACATATTTTACATGACTGTGTACCAAACAGCTTCAATTCAGTACCTAACAACTGTTTGATTTATGAATTATGAGTCAAAGTCAAATAATGTATATAATTCCCTTATGCAAAAAAAAATTTGAAAATGATTTTGTGGAAACATATTTGAGATTGATTAAAAGTATTCGCAGTCATGTAGAAGTAATTGCTAAACAGTGTCACAAAAAATAACCACGTTTATAGAATGGTACGTGAATGTATTGGAGACAATAAATTGCTTAACATCCATGTTTGTTTCTTATTGCAGAGGATCTAAAGCAACATGTAACTACGTCATTGAAGAGATTCACGAGGAACATTTGCAGAAGTTCCCAATATTGTAAAGGTTTTAGTAGAACATTTGTAAACACTAGTGAAAAGAATCTAGAGAAACATATTTGCACCTACTAAACTGCAGAGGTTCTAGAGGAACATATTGAATACCTTAATGAAGGATTTAACACATGCCTACCTTATTATAGGGGATACAGGCCTGTATCTGGTCCACAGGAACATGTTTCTACCTTATTATAGGGGATACAGGCCTGTATCTGGTCCACAGGAACATGTTTCTACCTTATTATAGGGGATACAGGCCTGTATCTGGTCCACAGGAATATGTTCCTACCTTATTATAGGGGATACAGGCCTGTATCTGGTCCACAGGAACATGTACCTACCTTATTATAGGTAGGGGATACAGGCCTTTATCTGGTCCACAGGTACATGTACCTACCTTATTATAGGGGATACGGGCCTTTATCTGGTCCACAGGAACATCTGTTCCGACAATGCCAAGTAGGTTCCCCTCCATTCTCTGGTGAACATTTCAATCAATAAGTGTATACATATATTTGACAGACTTCATTGACATTCTTATTCTTTAATCAGATCAAGTCAATCCTTGATCACATTTTCATCCTGACATTCTATAGATTTAAATGAGTATCCCCCCCGCCCCCCGTTTTGTCTATTTACCATTTCCTGATTTGACTACAAGTTTTGCATACTGTATAATGGTTATATTCTGCGGGGGTTTTCATTTCGCTATATTCACGTTTTGTCGAATATCTGTGAATTCTAATCACCAGCGAATTTATCGAATATGTTGACCACATTTACGGACCTTATCACAACACGATGAAAATAATTATAACCCAATGCTTTTATGCAAGCTTAAATGAACTCAAATCAGATTATCACTGGACAACTTGGCAGTTCATATAAAATTACAACACTTACATATCGGTGGCTACAACATATTTATGTGTACACAGTAGGTGATTAATTGATTACAGTTTACTCCTACAAAGGTACATACACATTTGATTTTCTTTCGAGCGAAGTTCGGGATCAGTGTATTTTCAAACCGTTTACCTGTATTTCGTGGTTTAACCTTTAAATGAAGACACGCACAATACTTTGCACGACACGTGGGATTTGTGTGCACAGCGAAATTTAAACCCTGCGAATATGTACTGAATACAAAACCTTGAAATATTGACCCCCGAATTCGAATTTAAAGCGCTATTCTGTACATAAATACAACCTTGAAAAAAATACATTTAGAGATTTAATTTAAAGTTTTTAACACATCCTTATTTATGTTTTGGTGTTAGTTGACTTTTTATATTCACAAAACCAGTTTTAATAGTTGAATACTTACCATTACTTTATTGTGTATACACTGTGCCTATACACCAATCTTTGTAACCCCAAAACAAATTGTTTCAAAAGTAACTGCCCCCTTCCATAAACAAAACCTACATCCCTAAGAATGAGATCCTGAATGACATCATGAAAATATTGTAATGTAAGAGAAGAAACTGCATTTGTAATGCATTTCTTAGCAAAACTGCATTGTTTTCAGGATAGAATGGAGAACAAATATTGTACAGCAACTTCCTCGTATCCTTTGCCAGGGTTCCAAATCTTCATGGTCTGGTCCACATTGTAATTTACTGTTGCTGATTTTGTTTATTTTTTTTATCATTTCATCTTATGATTTTTTTCTTCTTCAGAAACCAAAGCTTCAGTTATGGCAATAAAAAAGTTTCAAGTGCATGGTTACATGGGTTCCTTAATGTGTTTTAGCAACAATTTAGTCGTAACTTTTTTGAGTAACCTCCCTTATCCCACAATTTAGTAATAGCTTAATTTGAGTTACCTCCCTTATCCCACAATTTAGTTGTAGCTTTATTTGAGTTACCTCCCTCATCCCACAATTTAGTTATAGCTTTATTTGAGTTCCCTCCCTTATATTACTCAATAATTATATTTGAGTTACCTCCCTTACCCACTCTGTACAATACTACTTTCAATCTTTTAAACATGATGGCACTTCACCACTTGAAGAACTTTGCAGAATCAAATAGATATCAGCCTTCTGGAATTTCCAATCAGTCTCAAAATTTAATAAGCTTTACTGGGGACCATGGGGTATTTTCATGTGGAATTGGAGAAAAAATACTCTTGTTATACGACGCAGTTATACTTACAGCATCTTCTTTCATGTCAAAAACAGGTAGTGCATAGGACGTCAAAAACTTTAAACCCTGAAACCAACAAATACAGGTAGTGAACAGGACTTTAAAAAATTTAAAACCCTGCAATCAACAAATACACGTAGTGAAATTTGTATCTGAAGAAAAATGCGAAAGTCAATGTGCAGTGAAAATTTCCTGATAAACAGTATTCCTATGAAGTTTCATTGAAATCCCCACAGCAAACCTTGAGTTTTAAGTTCTAGCTAGATTCTGAAGTTGATTCCTGTCTTGGATATCATGTCAACCATCTTGATATACAACAACACTTGAGTAGGACAATTTACTAAACATCCTAATGGAGTTTCATTCCTTGTTTTCACTTCAATAGAACTGAAGCTGAAGTTAAAACAACATTTTCAAGGTATGGCTGCTATGACAGTACAATGACCAATGAAGCATCGGAATACTGGCCACATCAGCCATTAATTGATTCAGCTAGGTCACCTCATAAAACTTAGCTGGTAATAAAGAGATGTCTTAACATACATGAGAAGTAAGAAAAGGGGAGTGACATACTTCTGAGAGGTCGGGAGAGACCTCGGTGGAGTAATCAGCGTATACAGGTGTCCAGATGGCATTCCTCTTCCTCTGTATCACCATGGGGCGACTCAGCACCTTCAGGTAATGCTGAAAGTAGTGTAGTTAAACATTACCATTTAAATAAAAGGGAAATACCTAACATTAACATATAGGTACACAACTGGGTATTACCATAATTATGCTTAAAGTCAGGTAAATACAAGTAAATGTGCAGGTTTACAGAAATAAACACATGGGTTTTCTCTAACACTAACATTCACGCAAACATTTGGGTAATCTATTATTCTAACATCCAGGTAAACACTTCGGCAATCCCTTACACTAACATTGAGGCAAACACTTGGTAGTCCCCTACTTTAACATTGAGGTAAATACTTGGGTAATCCCTTACTCTAACTTTCAGGTAAACACTTGGTAGTCCCTTACTCTAACATTGAGGTAAATACTTGGGTAATCCCTTACTCTAACATTCAGGTAAATACTTGGGTAATCCCGTACTCTTACATTGAGGTAAATACTTGGGTAATCCCTTACTCTAACATTCAGGTAAATACTTGGGTAATCCCGTACTCTAACATTGAGGTAAATACTTGGGTAATCCCTAACTCTAACTTTCAGGTAAACATTTGGTAGTCCCTTACTCTAACATTTAGGTAAATACTTGGTAGTCCCCTACTCTAACATTCAGGTAAACACTTGGGTAATCCCTTACTCTAACATTCAGGTAATTACTTGGGTAATCCCTTACTCTAACTTTCAGGTAAACACTTGGTAGTCCCCTACTCCAACATTCAGGTAATCACTTCGTAGTCCCCTACTCTTACATTGAGGTAAACACTTGGGTAATCCCTTACTCTAACATTCAGGTAAATACTTGGGTAATCCCTTACTCTAACATTGAGGTAAAAACTTGCGTAAACCCTTACTCTAATATTCAGGTAAACACTTGGGTAATCCCCTACTCTAACATTCAGGTAAATATTTGGGTAATCCTATAGTCTAACATTCAGGTAAATACTTTGGTAATCCCTTACTCTAACATTCAGGTAAATACTTGGGTAAACTCTTACTCTAACATTCAGGTAAACACTTGGGTAATGCCTTACTCTAACATTGAGGTAAACACTTGGGTAATCCCTTACTCTAACATTCAGGTAAATACTTGGGTAAACTCTTACTCTAACATTCAGGTAAACACTTGGGTAGTCCCTTACTCTTACATTGAGGTAAACACTTGGGTAATCCCTTACTCTAACATTCAGGTAAGTACTTTGGTAATCCCTTACTCTAACATTGAGGTAAATACTTGGGTAATCCCTTTCTCTAACATTCAGGTAATCACTTGGGTAGTCCCCTACTCTAACATTCAGGTAAACACTAATCCCTTACTCTAACATTCATGTAAACACTTGGGTAAACCCTTACTCTAACATTCAGGTAAACACTTGGGTAATCCCTTACTCTAACATTCAGGTAAACACTTGGGTAATCCCTTACTCTAACATTGAGGTAAACACTGGTAAACACTTGGGTAATCCCTTACTCTAACATTCAGGTAAATACTTGGGTAAACTCTTACTCTAACATTCAGGTAAACACTTGGGTAATCCCTTACTCTAACATTCAGGTAAGTACTTTGGTAATCCCTTACTCTAACATTGAGGTAAATACTTGGGTAATCCCTTTCTCTAACATTCAGGTAAACACTTGGTAGTCCCCTACTCTAACATTCAGGTAAACACTAATCCCTTACTCTAACATTCATGTAAACACTTGGGTAAACCCTTACTCTAACATTCAGGTAAACACTCGGGTAAACCCTTACTCTAACATTCAGGTAAACACTCGGGTAAACCCTTACTCTAACATTCAGGTAAACACTCGGGTAAACCCTTACTCTAACATTCAGGTAAACACTCGGGTAAACCCTTACTCTAACATTCAGGTAAACACTCGGGTAAACCCTTACTCTAACATTCAGGTAAACACTCGGGTAAACCCTTACTCTAACATTCAGGTAAACACTCGGGTAAACCCTTACTCTAACATTCAGGTAAACACTCGGGTAAACCCTTACTCTAACATTCAGGTAAACACTTGGTAGTCCCCCACTCTAACATTCAGGTAAACACTAATCCCTTACTCTAACATTCATGTAAACACTTGGGCAATCCCTTACTCTAACTTTCAGGTAACACTTGGGTAACACTTGGTAGTCCCTTACTCAAACACTCATGTAAACACTTGGGTAATCCCTTACTCTAACATTCATGTAAGTACTTTGGTAATCCCTTACTCTAACATTGAGGTAAATACTTGGGTAATCCCTTTCTCTAACATTCAGGTAAACACTTGGTAGTCCCCTACTCTAACATTCAGGTAAACACTTGGGTAATCCCTTACTCTAACATTCATGTAAACACTTGGGTAGTCCCTTACTCTTACATTGAGGTAAACGCTTGGGTAATCCCTTACTCTAACATTCATGTAAGTACTTTGGTAATCCCTTACTCTAACATTGAGGTAAATACTTGGGGAATCCCTTTCTCTAACATTCAGGTAAACACTTGGTAGTCCCCTACTCTAACATTCAGGTAAACACTAATCCCTTACTCTAACATTCATGGAAACACTTGGGTAAACCCTTACTCTAACATTCAGGTAAACACTCGGGTAAACCCTTACTCTAACATTCAGGTAAACACTCGGGTAAACCCTTACTCTAACATTCATGTAAACACTTGGGTAGACCCTTACTCTAACATTCATGTAAACACTTGGGCAATCCCTTACTCTAACTTTCAGGTAACACTTGGGTAACACTTGGTAGTCCCTTACTCAAACATTCATGTAAACACTTGGGTAATCCCTTACTCTAACTTTCAGGTTAACACTTGGGTAGTCCCTTACTCTAACATTGAGGTAAACACTTGGGTAATCCCTTACTCTATTATTCAGGTAAACACTTGGTAGTCCCCTACTCTAACATTGAGGTAACACTTGGTAGTCCCCTACTATAACATTGAGGTAAACACTTTGTAATCCCTTACTCTAACATTGAGGTAAACACTTGGGTCATTCCTTACTCTAACTTTCAGGTAATCACCTTGTAGTCCCTTACTCTAACATTGAGGTAAACACTTGGGTAATCCCTTACTCTAACATTCAGGTTATCACTTGGTAGTCCCTAACTCTAACATTAAGGTAATCACTTGGTAGTCCCTTACTCTAACATTGAGGTAAACTCTTGGTTAGTCCCCTACTCTAACTTTCAGGTAAACACTTGGGTAATCCCTTACTCTTAACATTGAGGTAAACACTTGGGTAAACCCTTACTCTAACATTCAGGTAATCACTTGGGTAAACCCTTACTCTTACATTCAGGTAAACACTTGGTAGTCCCCTACTCTAACATTGAGGTAAACATTTGGTAGTCCCTTACTCTAACATTGAGGTAAACACTTGGTAATTCCTTACTCTAACTTTCAGGTAAACACTTGGGTAATCCCTTACTCTAACATTGAGGTAAACACTTGGGTAATCCCTTACTCTAACATTCAGGTAATCACTTGGGTAATCCCTTACTCTAACATTCAGGTAAACACTTGGGTAATCCCTTACTCTAACATTGAGGTAAGCGTAGGAGTAAAACTGCAATATTTCATGCCATCAACATCACATAAGAATACCTAGAATCGTATATTTTCTTAAGAAGATAACCAATCAAACACCACATCAGATTTTACTCACTTGTACGTTTTCTGCGACATCAGCCAGAGTTGAAATATGACAATAATAACCTGCCAAGACAATAGAAACATTTACATGTTATTTAAAATGCTGTCACCATTTACCTTGTAGAAATAAATGATTATTATGATATAAATAAACATTATTGCCAAACAACAACTTCCATAAATGACTAATGTTTGATGTGACAATTTCAAAAATATGTCAAGCAGGCACACATTGTTTATCTGTTCTACAGTGCTGTTTAGAAACACATTTCACATTTGTGACATTTAATATTGGGTCCTTTGACAATATGTATATTTGTATAGGATTTCCCTTAGTCCATATATTTAAAACAATTAAATGTGACGTTGGCATTGCCGTATTATGTCCATAATCAATTCATCTCGAACCATTGAACTCAAAAATATTTCTGATTGTTTATTAATTATTCGAGATTTTTTTAATAATTTTAATAGTGATATGTGTAACTATAAAATAGACCATGGGAAACCTTCATGTGAAATTTAAGATAGATCCCTCCAATGCTTTCTGAGAAATAGTGCTTAAACCTGAAAGCAACAGTATCTATTATTGGGAAAATCATTTAAGATTTGACGAGAACAAAATCATGATATTTTTTATAAAAAGTGATTTGTATAGGTTACCTTTGTTAGCACAAGCCATCCACTTGGCGTTTCTGTTGTCTGATACTTCTCGACCAATCAGAAACGTAAACATCCGTACCTTTAAAACCAAAGCAAATCAAATAGGTTATGTTCAATCTGACAAAGGCAATATGCTTGCCAAAACTTAATTCATATACTCAAGAAATGACCACTTGATAACAGGAAGTTGATCACCTGATAACAGGAAGTTGATCACCTGATAACAGGAAGTTGATTACCTCATAACAGGAAGTTATCACCTGATAACAGGAAGTTGATCACCTGATAAAACAGGAAGTTGATCAGCATACATATTGGTTTGTATATTACAACATCACATTTTTATATAGTGCATAAAACATGTATGATGTTCAGTTGAGGACCCTGTGGTAGATTAGCCTCGGCTAAACAAGTTTTTTTATCCTCAAGAAATAAAGTTTCATTATTATTATCATGCCCAAAAAGTTCAGGCAGAAGAAATGGTATTTTGGGGAAGCTGCAAAATAATATTCAACAACATTTCCACTAGATGTGAACTGAAATTACACATAATACACTGACTCACAAAAAAAATACAACTCCCATTAAAAGTCCATAGTTTTGAAATATGAATTAAGTGTTGTGGGCAATTTTGAATAGTTTATGGTATCATACAGGTTACCCGTCAATTCACAGCTGATTGAACTTGGTCCCTCTATGCATTTTCGTATCCTGGAGACTTTAATGCTTACTCCGATTTGTCAAAATTGATTCAAACTTATTTCTTTAAAGTGTTAGGAGTTTTGTTAATTGTTGAAAGGTGTGTATCTTTATATTATTGTTCTGTTGGATCCTACTGCCATATCTGGAGATAATCAACTGAAGTTTTATTGTTAAATTGATGAAATATTTCTTGATTAAATATGTTATCTGAGGAGAAATATGTCCTCTCATATTCAAAAATCAATTCCATTATTTCTTATCTATAGGAAAAACCATTGTAAAGTGAATGATTTTGTTAATTTTACTCACAGGTTTTCTGTTTTCTATCCGCCAATTTCGTTCTTCAAATATTTGTTCGTAACCCTCTGGAGCCCCGTCAGTGATGAGCATGATGGCTTTATTACACAGAGGGGTCCCCAATATCTCCTCCTCCTGGGCACATAACACTTATATAGGTTTTGTTACCAACAATTTCATAGCACAAATTTGAAACATTACAAAAAACTTGAAACTGAAAAAGGTATGGTATTGGAGGTTAAATTGAAGCCGATTCATCAACATTGTTCTATCAATCTTTAAACATTGTAGTTATACATTTGAAAACTCTTTTTTTCTCTACAAAAGTAGCTACAATAAGTAGATGCTGGGGTCATTCACAAAACTTGGAAATTTATATGAGATGAGAAAATAAACTATTATTGTGCAAATATTTGATAGAGTACCATACTAATAACAATACAGTTCTTACAACAGTCTGCATCATAATTAATCAAAGTAAAGCTGAAATCTGTATGAAAATAATGGTACAGAAATTTCAAAATTGAAAAAATTCAATTTAATTTATTTAAACAAGGTTGAAATAATTTTTCTATTATAAAGATCATTTTAGTACAGAAACTTAAAGCAACTTTTAGAGTGATGCCTGATGATAAAAACTCACCCTTTCAAACAGATCGAAGGCCTCTGTGAGAGCTTTGTCAAATCTGGCTATATAGGAAGTCTTCATGTCTTTTGTGTATCCTGCTAACCTCTGGCGGTTCTCCTTGCTTGCTTGCATCATTGTACCATTAAAGCATGGGTCTAGATAGGTCACATTTTTGTTAAACTAAAGAAAAACACAAATAAAATTACATCTCATCAATAACCACAGACAAAATTGTACAGTTATTTTCAATTAAGATTTGTTGTTAAGATTTTTGTAGTACAGCAATATATGATTTCAAAACTTACTGATAAGATGTTAAAATAGTCTTTACTGCTGAAAGTTTCTAGAATTCTTTCGATTGTACTTCGGGTGATCTCCATTCTCAGCCCTTTCATACTGCCACTTGTATCCACCAAAATGATCACATTCTTTGGGGAGGACGACGACTCGATATACCTGTAATCAACGAAATTTACAGTGGAATTTCAACAATTTTGAATGACGTGGCAGATTGAATCTGTTGATGTCTAAGGTGTGGTGATCCCTTATAGGAAATTAACATGAGCCCCAGCTCACAACCCTAATCAGAGAAGAAACCTTCCTGTACCACTTAACTCATTCATCCCTAAAGACACATTTGAACTTTTCCAATTCAAAGGTTGGAATAGTTCATTGTGAAATTTCAGGGGTGAATAAGTTAATAAGTTTATTGTAGATTTGTGACTCTGGTGTTATATGGTCCAGCATTTCTTGTCAATTAGGGGCAATAGTGATCAACTACACCAGGTAAAGAAAAGGACCTTGTCGCCAAGGCAGACTTTGGTAGATAACATTCACAGGTTTACTTCTATTAAATGTAACTGAAAGTTTTTGGCTTAAAAGAACAGATATACCTATTTATGTATATCATAAATTTACTGCATTACACATCATTAGGTATAACTTATGTATAGAAAGCTATTATAAAAAAGTTTTTAAATCATGGACTAATTGTTTGCTTTATTAAACAAATTTTTCATTAGGAAGTTAATAAGTAATAGATTCCTGTGACCTTGAATATATGTCAAGGTCATTCATTTTAATAAACTTGGTAGTCCTTCAACACAGCATGTTACTGGCATTATCCTAGACCTCTAGGTTATTCAGAAGAAGTTGTTTAAAGGTTTAAAACATATTTGACCCCTGTGAAAGTGGGTCAAGGTCATTCATTTGAACAAACTTGGTAGCCCTTCATCCCATCATGCTACAGGCCCAATATCAGTACCCTGGGCCTTTTGGTTATTAAGAAGAAGTTGTTTAAAGTAAAATATTGACGCCGGACACCGGCATAGGCTCACTTGGCCCTTTGGGCCAGGTGAGCTTATAAACTGTAGCAATAGGTAATAACATCAATGACATTTTTGATAAAATTATTTGTAAGTTTATTTTTTTTATTTCTTACTTTCTTTTCTGCGAAAGAAATTGAAAGGCCTATATAATTTACATTCATAATTGGAATTTAATCACCCTCAAGGTTTGTAATCGTGCTTGTTAAAACTTACCAGTTTCTAACTCTGCAGTCAAACATGTCGATATTACCTCCCTTGTTGTCCTGTGGCCATCGAATACCTGTAACAGACATGACCTGCCAATCAAAACAGAGCCAATCAAATCAACAGAAGAGCATGAGATTATTAGGCCTTTAGAAATCTTTATCTCTTTCCTTAGAGAAGTTGGGTAATGACTATAACATATTACTGTAAACGTTTCTACATGCCTCCTCAAACCTTATTGTTGCCAGTGATTGAAAATTATTATGCCAGAATTTCCTGGCCCTGAGTGTGGGGATATACAAAATTGAAATAAAAGATCTTTGATAGGGAAGTACTTTTATACAGGGGGAAAAGGCACCACACAATCACACTGTATATAATATATCCTAGTGTGGATTATGACCCTTCTCCTTTCTGATAAATACAGAGTTGAATTGAGCGTTTACTTGCCTGGAAATATTCTGAAGAACCCGTCAGAACTACAGAAGTATTGCCAAGTGAGGCCTTTAATTTCTCTGTCGTTCTGCAACATTCTCGCATTTAGAGCCTCAGACCACTTCACTCCATTTTGAATCAAAGAATCTGAAAGATTTTGCAAAAAGATCACATAAAGTTATGTGTATCTATAATCTCCAATCCCCATTATATAGACATGTAGTTATGTGTACATCTAATCTCCTTTTGTAATAACTTTACTTTACACAACATAAAATGCATCAGGCAGGTTCTCCCCACTGTCACATCAACCTTTTTGTCAGCCCTACGTGTTAATTCCCCTAGCAGGCATTTTATTTTGGGTAAGGCCATATTCTAGCAACAACATTATCAAAAAAAGAAAATATTTCAGAGCAATCGCTACATTTTACACATGAGTTAATGAGTAAAAACAACTCCCCTTACATCATTTTACACAATAATTGCCTTGTTCATTGTCTGACAGACTGTATAAAGCAACACCTGTCATCAGTTAACTTACAGGGCATTGGAGTTATTCCCCTTAGGACAGTCCAAGCTCAAATTGGCGATATATGGCTTCGAGTGACAAAGGGAAGAAAACATTTGAATGCATGAGATTTCATTATGGCTCATGTGGCCGTGAGACACATTTCAGCGTGAGTTAGGACATCTCAGTGTGAGAATATCTGATACCTACTTTTATCGTAAACGTTTGTTGGTACATGTACAGTACTGGTGTTGAAATTGACGGCTGCGTTGTTGAATCGTGGACTGCTGACAGTGGGGAGGTAGCGATACTTGGCCATCATGTCCGTACCACCTACTCCTACCAGCATCACATCACTGTGCAAGTTTGCCTCCTGCAAAACCAACAAAATGTCACATTTGACAACAAGTAGAAAATCTATAACATAAACATGTACTTTTTTATAATCTTTTGGAGAAAAAGCAGCAATAAGTTTATAATTTGTGTCACCTTTCCCCCCAAGCCAAACTTCTAAGGTTATAATGTCAAGTCAAAGCATCCATAAGCAAAGACATCTGTCAAAATGACAGTCTCCATACTTAACATGCTTGTTTTCATGTTAAAAACATTGACAGAAACTGAACAATTATTTGGATACCCTTCGTTATTCTGAAAAAGGTAAAACTTATAACACGTACCAGATGTCTGCAAAATCAAAATTAGAATGCTAGTAAAGGCATTATATAATGATTGGAAAAAAGTAAAGCAATTTTTTTTGGTGGTAAATTTTGTAAAGGTTATTGAAGAAATGTCATTACAATTAAATTAAACAGTTACAACTGGATTCTTTGGGATTACTTTATGAAAAAAAAAATGTAACACAGTGTAACGGCAGTGTCAGGACTGATGTCGCAATAGAGCAATCAACTCATCCCCTAATCCAGTGTTGATTTAACACCGTAAGTTTCCTCCTAGGGCCGAAATCATTCTCTAATTGTCTCCACTTCATACATTCACAGCATTCTGGGTTTTACTGGTTTTTGACTAAATTGTTGTACACTCAGTATCTGTACAGAACAGAATTTTGTTTTAGAATGTTTTTTAAGTTTATCACAAGTGGATGTATTACCCCCAGATCCTTGAATTTTGAAAATGTTTAAATGCGTAAGTCAAGGTTCTGTATTTGGGCCATACATAATTGTAGACAGCACTCATATGAGAGTACCAGGTGCAATCATACCTCCAAATTCCACTGGATTTTACGCAAATAGTGTTAAATATCAGGCCAAAACCAAAGTTGCGTTATTTTTTTCCATAAGTATATAATACTGGCTAAGGACTAATGGAAAAGCAGTTCTATAGATCAAATTCATTCATGTAACCAAGCATATTCTTACAATGATTTCATGCAAAACTGTCCAAATATTCAATGCAAGACTTTTTCAGCTAAGGGTTACCTCCCTTTGATTATAATAATCTTTAAGCCATGAAGCTGCTTGCAACACTTTAAGATGAATATTAATATATGTTGAACTGGAAACATTTAAGACACCCAGTGGTATAATCACAAATTAGAAGTTATGATAATATACAAACATACAGTATAATAGTTGTTTAATTTCATGGATGTAAAGTTTTGTGATTCGCAATTTCTGTAAGTTTATTATTTGAACACCTTGCAAAAAGATCTGAGAGCTTTGATAACAATATTAGCAACGACAAAGCTGACATTCATACTTCGTTCAAATGTATGTCATTTTCTGAGTTTTTGTCTTCTATACATAAGTCTTAATGTAAAATTCAAGATAAGGAATGAATTTGTTTTGATTTGAGGTCACAAATCTGTGGTCGAAAAATAGAAAACTTTGGATTACAACATTAATGGTAACATTGAACCTATTTCTGCATCATGCTGTTTGGGAAAGTATGGATTTTCATTTACCAACATATGACATTTTTTTTTTAAATCGGTAAGGATTTCTAACAAATGTGTCAAGGTAGCCGTGAATATCAATTAAACACATGATCAAAGTTACATAATGATTATGCCTGAAAGGAAATGTCATTAAAGATACAGTTAGAGTAAAGCTGTTAACTACAGCATATGTTTTGATAAACTGAAGTTGCATGATCAATCTATTGTTTTCAACTCTAATATGGGGTGTAGGGAAGGTAACAGTGAAAAACTTTACCTCAGGTGCGCTTTGTTACCATGAAAATGTAAGTCACACCTATTGTCCAGATTTCATACCAAAAGTATTTACCTGGGTTTTGAGTTTTAATGAAAGTTGAAATTACTTTGAGCTTGGTTTTTTTTCTCCATCTGCTGAGCTTTTTTCAAAACTATGTTTAGACCTATTCCTATTGGCATCACAGACATGAAATCTGAATGTTCCAGCCACAATAAAAAAAATCTATGAGATACAAGATTTTGTGAATTTTGAAAAATTTTTGAAATAAGGGAAATTAAAACTGTCCTGAATATGACTAACAATAGAGTACTAAAAAGTAAGATTTCAGTAAATGGACACTGATACCTACCTCCCAATCCTTATATAAACACATTACATCTCCAGCACACATGCAAGCACATACACATAGGGAGATATTAGCCAGGTGGCATATGACCAGTAGCTATTGTTAGTGCCTGATAAGGCAACTCCCGCAAATTCCTCAAAATTGTATTGATTAATGTATCATTTAATGTATATGTTAATGGTTTTGATTGTATAGATTGTAAATCTAGGTATTGTAAAGCACTTTAGAGTGGCTTATTCTAGCTAGATAGAGCGCTATATCAAATGTTGTGTATTTAATCAATTTTATTTATTCATAATATGTTAAAAGTCAGAAGAGTACGGTAAATATATGGTATTTTAATATTCATAATTTGTAAACAGAAAGGATGTATAACACAGGTATCATGCTAGGTCTTATGTAATCTATTAGTATAGAGCACACTAGGATACAAACAACTGCGCATCAACAGTTCACCACTATAAAACAACTTATATGTGAACAGCTGTCTAACATCAAGATACCTCAGCACTTTCCTCGTTTGTATAATTGGTATCCGAATCGTCAGCTTGATTTGAATCAGTGGGCTGAATAAAAGTTAATAAAAAGTGTATAAAGACAACATATAGATAACAACATAGAGATCAAAGAGGCCTGTATTTCTCTTACCCTGGACAGATTTATCCTTACTTTTACTGGTGTGAGATTTCCTTGTCTCACCCTAGGGTTGATCGAGACAAGCTACACATGTTCTTTGCACGTTCTCCACAATAAACCTGACGTCACTGATGTGACCCGGAAGAAGAACTACTTTTATATGGTCACACACATACACAAGTTCGTCTGCTAATCTTGTCGTGTTAACATTTGACATCAAAGAAGATGGGATTGATTTTAAAATGTTTAAAATATGATGCGTGAACCGTCTGACGCATACATATACTATTAATACGCTATCCACGTGTTTCTGTTTACAAACAATATGCTTTGTCTTACACTTGGACAGGAACAACAGGGTAAGAGAAAAAATATCATTCACCCCCTCGGGGATGAGATAGGGGGATCTCAACCCTCAGGAGGGGGATCTCAACCATCGGGGGAAAGATTCTTAAGTTGCCAAACACACAGCAAAGCCTCGTGTTTGGCAAATTAAGAATCCCCCCCTCGGGTTGAGATCCCCCTATCTCATCCCCAAGGGGATGAAAGATTTTATTAATCTGTCACATGATATTTAATGATGTTGGCAAATATGTTTTTAGTGCTGAAAAGTTTTAAAGAAAATATGCAAGGTGCAAAAGTGAGAAACATGTTTGATGTTAGTTAACCTTTGATATGGATATCAAGGTACTCGGGTAACTGCCTCTCTTTAGAAAAGGACAAATATAGATCTAGAACATTACCCGGCACAAATGTTCAATATATATAAAAAAAAATCAATCTTTACTGAGCAAAAAGTCCAAATGTCTGTGGAAATTGTCTGCTAACACAGACATTGATAAAAGAAATTGTATGGAAAGTGTGGACATGAGTGTCCACAGACTTTATACATACTGTAGTTATGGACTTTGTCCATGGAAATGTTAAAATCCATGGAATTCCATGGAAAACTGTAAATATTTAAGTGCTTTATTCTGTTTCCATGGAAAATCTATGGCTGGGTCAGACAGGTTATTGAAAAAAAAAGTTACTTCACTAAACAATCCTTTTTACAGTGGGGCAAGATAATTTAGTTGAACAATTTATTACTCTTTCATCTCAGTAAGCTATACACAAGACAAATGTTCTTAAAACGATTAATTGTTAGAATGTTTTATAAGGCAAGTTTTTTGAAAAAACATAAAGAGCCATGCACCCCAACAATTAAGTTACATGGTAAAAATGATGACTCCAGGCCTTGCAGTTCTTCAGAAGAAGGTGTTTAAACAAGAGGCCCAGAGGGCCTGTATCGCTCACCTTCTTTTGTTACATGAAACTGACATATAGGTAACTTAAGACCAAATTTGGTAACTAGAACACAAGACATTTTAACATCTCTTAAACGGTTCTGAAGATATTGTTGTTTGAAACTTGAAATTTTAAGGTTAAAGCTTTTAACTCATATTGACCTTTGACTCCGACTTGCACTTAAAGTTGACCTTTGACCTTATTACTGTAATAAAGAAGCAATTCACACAGCTTAACATACCCAAGTATCATGACACTAGTCCAAATGGTTCTTAGGATATTGTTGTTTGAAGTTTTTAACATATCTAGCTCCTGTGACCTTGAAAGTAGGTCAAGGTCATTTTAATGTGGAAACTTTATAGCACTACATCCTAGGTACCTACTGGCCAAATATCATGACCCTGGGCCTAATGGAACTTAAGAAGATTGTTAAAGATTTTAACCGAAGTTGACATTTGAACCCCTGACTAGCATTTAAAGTTGACCTTTGACCTCATAACTGTAACTGAGAAAAATATTTGCACTGCTGGTCTACATAATATATCCAAGTATCATGACTCTAGTTCAAATTTTTAACATATTTGACCGCTGTGACCTCTAATGTAGGTCAAGGTAATTTTAATGAGGACACTTTATATATATAATTATAGCACTCCATCCCAGGTACCTACTGGCCAAATATCATGACCCTAGGTCCTACAGTTCTTCAGAAGAAGTCGTTCAAAAGAAAAAGTTGACGGCCGGACGCCGGACACCGCAGTACGGCATAAGCTCACATGGCCCTTTGGGCCAGGTGAGCTAAAAATGTTGACTCATGTTGACAGACTGACATCACGCCATTGCATAAACTTGCGTTTTAGACTCTGTGACAAGTATTTCAGCAATCAAAAATAGCCGGCATATTTGAAAAGAACACAATATTTATTTATCATGATTTCACAATGTAAATATGTGGAGAAATTGCAGTGCAAAAATATGAATAGAATAAGAGGAAACATTGTCGTTTACCTGGCTGGTTGGTTTGGTGGTATGTGCTGGCAGTGGTGGCCGGACAACCTCAGGATTGGTGCGATTGATGCCCATCACCAAAAGATCTGCATCACTGAGGAGCTTCTTGTTATTGAGGTAGTCAAACTGCGACAATAATAACGTCAGTGAGTGAGGAAATGTAACTATTATAGGGCAATCTGTTCCCTGATAGTACAGTTAAATTAAATTGAGAGCACTCCAGTAATTCTTATGTCGGCAAATCAAGCTGTAGAAAACTATGCCTTAAGGTAATAGGATTGTGTCGCCATTTCTCAGTAGAATTAATTCAAATTTTGTAGTTATATTGCTTTGAAGTAAAGAAAATTTTCTACCACAAAAAAAATATAGGTTGTCAGAATTTTAAGGATTTTAAATGGAAAATGTAAAAAGGATTGAATTTTGAGAAACACATTTTTTTTTGCAAAATAATGTCAATAAAAATGATAATAATATGCATTAATGTATATCAATTTCATAAATGCTGAAATTGTGTAAAATTAATCATCTATAAACGATTAAAAATTGACATTTTATAATAAAACCATATACACAGAGTAATTGCATGCAAGAGTTATCGTTCTTGAAAAACTTCACAGTAGTGAAATAGGTAGCCGGTTTCCTGAAGTACAGAAAAATGGACACATGTGACTCATTGATTTAAAAACAACTGAATCAATGCCTGGTTTGTTTTGCAATACTTTAATATTGAAAGAACACACTGTCCTGTCAATAATATAAGCATACAATATTCATCAGTTTAATATTAAACATTAGAATATGCGGAAATTGTGATACTGTCTCCCTACATGGGATTTTCAACTAGGGATTTACTTCCTATTTCCGTTTAGCAATACACTCCTATGACCTTAACACTAAGATACCTCCTCACCCTAGCAAAACTCAGTTTGACTCGAAGCATGGGCATCACAGATATCCCCATTCACTGCATATCTACAAAGTTCGAAGCCCATTCATGAAACAGTACTTTGGGTCAAGGTCAAAAGTGAAATTGAGGTCACCGTGAAGAAAAAAGTATTTTGGAACAACTCACTTTCTAACCAGTCCATGAGGTCAAAGCCGAAGGTAAACTCAAGGTCACAATGACCTTGTTTTAGATACAACACACATCCTTCCTATGATGTACCTATATATATATACAAAGTTTGATGCTTATTCGTTAACCCTTTCATCACCTGTAGACCATAATGGACTCATCCAGGTCAAAGCATGGTAGAGTCTACTGAAGTTACATAGGGGTGAAAGGGTTAAACAGTGGCTGAGATATGCTCCAGAAACCAGTCAGCACAGAGGGACATATATGTACATATACACATGAATAGACTAAGCTACATTACTAGATATCCTAGATTTACGTCGAAGCGGGGATATAAAAATACTCTAAATAGTCCAATATAATTCAAGGGAAGATAACTCTCATATCTTAGTCAAAATGTAAAAGGAAAATTGCAAGGATGAATCTTGTAGATAAACATACAAAACAGTCAAATGATCTACAAACGAGCCAAACTTTACTTTTGACAGGCAGTTAAATCTATGAAGAAATGGGAGTCTTTTTAGTAATTTATGGGTAGAATGGAGAAAATGTAAGAGTCAACAGGATAGCAACTATAGTAACAAAACTGAGAGAAATGGACAAACCTCCAGCTGTTCATCAAAGGTGTGGTTCTCACTGGCCCGTTCAGCGACTGCTACCAGATTCTGCATAAAAAGATGGATATTTTATTCAAAGGATAACAATAAATTGACGGTAATAGGGGAGGCATGCGTTGTTGCTTAGTTTTATGTCTCACGTGTCCCCACTTTGACCATCAACAGCAATTGGTTTGAGAATCAGACCAAAGTACAGAAATTTACTCACGTTTATTTAATATCTTCAAACAAAAAGAAAGGAAAGCTCAATTCTATTTTTATAATTAAGATATTTAGAAAATAATGCTTAGATCATATCCAGCATCCAAGGCAGGAATTGAGATACACTACAGATAAGGCATCTAGCTATGATCCACATGTAGTTGGTGTAGTACTTGCATTTTTTGAAAAAACAAAGCTAAACTTTAAAAAGAACAACTTAACAATGATGAGGATGCTGAAAAAGAAACTGAACAAAGAAATCAAAGTAATATTCACCCGTGCACATCCAAAACACGCAACCAATAGAACACCAACGGATTATTCATAACTCGCCCAGATGTTAGCGACTGTTGGGTGTGTGTGACTTAATGTGGGAGGAAACCTTGAGAAAACCCCCATGGTTGGGCAGGTGACTTTATATTTTTTCACATCCAATAGGGGAATCTAACCCCGGCCACCTTGGTGAAAGGCTAGTGCGTTATCCAATGCACCAACCACCCTAACAGTTTCATTTAAACTAGGTAATCCTTTTTTCTACTTTTGTAATAAAAAATGAAAGTTTACTATTGTTGTTTCACACTATCGTATTAACTCTTTCTATTTATACACCAAGACATATGTCAAAATTTTGTTGTTTTATCATACTTGTTGATAAGATCACCAATGGTTAAATGTGCCTCATTCATTGACCAATTCAAACAGCCAGACTGACCTTAATGGAGTGTCCTAGTAGTGCAACTTAGAATGACCTTAAAAAGGCTCTGCCTAAAACAAACCTGCCATTTAATTGACCTTTGCAAGTGTCCATGTGAGTTTGTCTAAGTTTAGGTCACTAATTTATCAGATGATGATCCAAAGTGATGTTACCATTTTAGTAACCTCGAAGTTCCCTACAAGGTTAACATAAATTCTGGTGAACTATGTAAATGACTTTGAAATATAAGAAAAATGATGTTCTAACTCCTTCAAGGTGTAGCAATGTATTTTTGAGATATGACTTACTTTGAAATCAGATATTTTCATGGGGCTCAAAAAGCGTGGGTACATGAATTTGTGGTTTATGAATACCCACTCAGTTGGAGAATAGCTTTATTTCAAACTTGTAATTACTGTGTGGACCTAAGAATTTGTGGATGAAGATTACCCTCAAAATAAATAAAATTAAAAACCCAACAAAAGTTTGTACAAATACAGTTTTTTGAAATAAAAGTTTTTTTGAGATCCCCTCAGTAACAGATTTAATTTCCGTCATTCCTTACCCTGACAGCCTTGACCTTGCTTTGTAACAATCTCTTGATGCTGAGAGCTGTTTTCTTGATAACCACCTCAGGCAGCCATTGATGCTTACTCGTATGCATTTGGTAATTCTGCAAAATAAAAAAGAAAGACATGCATGATTAAGGGTATTATAGATGCAATAAACAGTTTCATTCAGTGTCACTTCACCACAAGGTATAACTCAAGTAATTCTACTATTAAAACGCACATGTGACTCTGACAATTGGTTCCAAAGGCTAGGATGAGGTAAAGCAGTCTCTGTGTGTGATTGTAACAATGTAAGGAATCTTTAAATTGTCCCAACTTCATTGTGATTTATGCCGCTCAAACAGTGTTGTGCCTGATAATTGATATTTAGTATTTGTCATTGGTTACACCTTTTCTCCTCTCTGTGTGTTTTGTTATCTCAAATTAATTAACAGCGAAACAAGAGGCCTGTTGGCCTTAATGAATCAATGCCAAATTCAATAAGACCAAAAAACAACAAGACTTGTCAGCTAAAATCCTAGATTAGGGTAACAGAACACATAGCTCCCAATTGCAAGCTTCCAGATCTATTGAGCTCCACTCGACATTAGCATTATGGATGCCTACACCATTCCTTTATATAATATTTTATAATGTCAGGTACGTGGTGAAATTGACGTCAGTCCCCTTAATTTGCTATACCTTAAAATACATTTTAATGGGTTCATTCTTGTTTAAGTAATTAATAACATGAAAAATTCCAGATATTTTTATGACAACAAATATTCATGTTCTATCCTGGAAATACCAAATCACAATCAACCAACAAAGACGTGGCTTCAGACCTCTGTCCCACTGCACTAGATTTTCCTATGTGTAGTAAATAAACCTCCCTTTAACTTCTGTTTAGATACAACTGTAGAACACTTTGGTGAGGACACTTTCGTGGACCAGGAAACTTGATCAGTTAGAGAGATAGTTTAGCAGTTTGAAGGTTTGGGTTTGAATCCAGGTCTAGCCCCGCAGTGTTTTTTTCACATTCAGAACACTGTTGTTGATTATATTTGTTTATTTCATCTTTATTATTTCTCATAAGAGTCCCACAAGGTATGGTTTTCTTTTCAGAAATGATTTATCAAAGCTTAAGGTAATAGGATTTTGTCGCCATTTCTGTCAATAACAATAACAAGAGGCCCAGAGGGCCTGTATCACTCACCTGAATATGTTTAAAATAATTGGTATGAAGTACAATGTAGGTGCTGTAAGTACATATGAAATTTCAGAAAGATCCATCCAGTACTTGAGATATAGCGAGAACAAACTTCAAACAGAGCCCCACCCCTATATGCAACTTAGGGGGGTCATACCCACCAATTATACAAAATTGAATCCCTTTGACCCAAGGATGCTCCAGACTAAATAAGGATAAAATCCCATAATCCTGATGGTCGAAGAAGGATTTTAAAGGTTTTACCTCTATTTCTCCTAATGGGCCCCACCCTTCTGCCCCTTGGGAGACCACACCCACTGCATGCTTATACAAAATTGAGTCCCCTTGGCCCATTGATGCTCCAGACTAAATTAGGATAATATCTCTTAATCCCTATGGTAGAAGAAGGATTATAAATGTTTTACCTATGTTTCCCCTATTGGGCCCCGCCCCTCAGGCCCCTGGGGTACCACACCCACGATTTATATAAAATTGGTTCCCCTTCACCCAAGGATTCTTCAGACCAAATATGGAACAAATCCTTTCATACCTACAGAAGAAGAAGGATTTTAAAGAATTTGCTATATTTCCCCTATTGGGCCCCGCCCCTCAGCCCCCAGGGGGGCCAGACCCATCATTTATACAAAATTGAGACCCCTTGGCCTAAAGATGCTCCAGACCAAATTTAGTCCAAATCTACTGGGCCGTTCAGGACAAGTAGCGTTTTAAAGGAAAAGACGGACAACGGGCGACGGACGCTGCTCCATGGCATAAATGACACTGCCATGGATTAGTATTGCATTAATGTATATCAAATTAATAAATGCTGAAATTATGTCAAATATATTATCTATAAACGATTAAAAATTGACATTTACCATATGCACATAGTAATTGCAGGTAAGAGTTATCTTTCTTAAAAAACTTCACAGTAGTGAAATAGGTAGCCAGTTTCCTGAAGTACTGAAAAATGGATACATGCGGCTCATCAATATAAAAAAAAACATGAATTAATTCCTGCATTGCTTTGACATACTATAATATTGAGAGAAAACACTGTTCTGTCAATAATAAACATACAACATTCATCAGTCTAATATTAAACATTAGAATTTGCGGAAAATGTGATACTGTCTCCCTACATTGGATTTTCAACTAGGGATGTACTTCCTACTTCTGTTTATCAATACACTCATATGACCTTAAGTCTTGTCAGAAAAAACAGTTTCCAATAAATAATTACAGATTTTTGGCAGCCAGTGGTACAGGGATCCTTAATGCCATGGGGTGTGAGCATTAACTCATTCACCCCTGAAGACACATTTGAACTCTTACAATTCATAGTTTGGAATAGTTCATTATGAAATTTCAGGGGTGAATGAGTTAATATCGACATGGCTACACCACTACTAGAACAGGTAAACAAGAGTGATTGACAGAGCATTATTGAATCAGACATGCCGTCTTACATGATATCATTATACTTAAAATCAAAGACAGGCTTCAAACTTGTGTTTGCTTGTGATGAAAAGCTTGATACAGGCTTCACAACTTTACACTTCTATATCTATGTGATGGGATGTCGTTAAAGTTGAGGGCTGTATATAACATCAATCACAAACACATTGGTGGGTTTCACAACATCATCATGAAGCCCTTTATCTGCGTTTACAACTAAATTGTCTAGTCAAATCCTATTGATTTCGGTGTGACGATGGGTCTGACCAAAGTAGAATCAACGTGTCTGATACATTCCCTGGAGATCGGTCTTCCGCATGTGTTTGCGGTCATATATCCATGTGGGGATAGTGCATTTTTGATTGATTCATATGCCAGCATCATCTAATCTGATAGAAACAAATATGCGAGACATGTCACTTTTCAGGTTAATGAAGTTCAACGAGGGTATACATAGGGGGTAAGGGAGATAACCTTGACCGTACACGTAGGTAAGGGTGATAACCTCGACCGGACACGTAGGTAAGGGAGATAACCTCGACCGGACATGTAGGTAAGGGAGATAATCTTGACCGGACACGTAGGTAAGGGAGATAACCTCGACCGGACATCTCATTCAATTGTATGTGCCCATTTTGCTGTCTTTCTTTGAAAACATTATAATCGAATATTAAACAGTTTTCTCATTCAACACTGTATATGTTTCATTTATATACAGTAGAATACATCCAATATTTTCACATGTGCTTTGAATGCAAAGCACTCATGAACAATAACAGTATTCTGCCATACTTGTGAAATGTAACAGTATTCTGCCATACTTGTGAAATGTGTATGGTATGGGACACCGCTAAATATCATCTAGTATATAACTAGCAACATATCATGTGAATAAATTATTAGTTCTATCAGATGGTCCCAAGTGTCAGCTAAGTGGAATATCCAGGGATTACCCAGGCATGTGGACCGATGACAACGCTACATTCTTTGATATTATAGACAGTGATGCATCACTATATTCACCAATACTGATAATCAATTTATTTGACCTTTATAACCTTTGGTGGCCTTTATGCTGACCTTGAGTATAATCTACATTGTTATGAGATGTGAAAATTAACGCTATGGGATAGTGACCATTATGTTGATGCTGAATTTGACCTTTGACTTCTGGTGACCTGTTCACCGACTCTTTGTAAAACATTGTCATGAACTATGCAAATAAAAGATTTATCACTAATAACAATTGGCTATCATAGTCTACAAATTGACCTCGGCTATGATATGGATGCAAATGAAAGACTTGTTGTATCTATCAATAATAACAAGAGGCCCAATGGGCCTGCATCGCTCACCTGGTATTAATCTCACACTTGTAATCTTAAAAGTGGACTAAAATACAGCTACAAGCAGAATATCAGTGTTTGATTCATAAGAACCTATTAAAAGATTTAAACATATGATGCCTGTTACCTTGAATGTCGAACAAGGACATCAGGTTGAAAGTGGATCAAGGTCATTCATTTGAACAAACTTGGTGGTCCTTCATCCCAGCATGCTACAGGCCTAATTTCAGTACCCAGGGCCTTTTGGTTATTGAGAAGTTGTTTGAAGATTTTAAAACATTTGACCCCTGTAATCTGGAATATGGGCGAAGGTCATTCATTTGAACAAACTTTGTAGCCCTTCATCTCAGCATGCTACTGGCCGAAATATCATCACCCTGGACATTTTTGTTATTGAAAACAAGTTGTTTAAAGTTTTTAACATATTTGACCCCTGTGACCTTGAATATGGGTGAAGGTCATTCATTTGAACAGACTTTGTAGCCCTTCATCTCAGCATGCTATTGGCAAAATATCATCACCCTGGGCATTTTGGTTATTCAGAAGAAGTTGTTTAAAGGTTTTTTAAGACAATTGACCCCTGTGACCTTGAATGTAATTGAAGGTCATTCATTTGAACAAACTTGGTAGCCCTTTACCCAAGGATGCTACTGGCCAAATATCATCTCCCTGGGCAGTTTGGTTATGGAAAAGAAGATGTTTAAAGTTTATAACATATTTTACCCCTGTGACTTTGATAATGGTTGAAGGTCATTAATTTTAACAAACTTTGTAGCCCTTCATCCCAGTTTGCTTCTGGCCTAATATCATCTAACTAGGCTTTTCGGTTATTAAGAAGAAGTCGTTTAAAAGTAAAATATTGACGCCTTCAAACGACGGACGCCACGCCACGGCATAAGCTCACTTGGCACTCCGTGCCAGGTGAGCTTAAAAGCTTGATAGCCCTTCATCGAAGCATGCTACTGGCTAAATATCAGCATTCTGGGCCTCATCGTTATTCAGAAGAAGTCATTTAAAGATTTTAAACAAATTTGACCCCTGTGACCTTGAATATAATCAAGGTCATTCACTTGAATAAACTTGGTAGTTCTTAATCCTAGCATGCTAC